GGCCGCGAATCCCCCCTTCGTGATTAATACGAGCAGCGGTTGTTGGATCTCGACTGAGTGGAGGGGTGGTGGGTGGGGTGGCTGTAATTTCCAGCTGGAAATTAGAACGAACGGCGAAACGGAATCTTTGCGTTTTCGCGATGGTCGGCGCGCGAGATTGCAATCGACCGGCTAATTTTGGAAAGCGATAACCGAGCGAGCGGCGGCGGCGGCGGCGGCGGCGGGCAGGGATCTAGAACCGATGGGAGTTGCAAGCTGGCCCGTTTAATTTCGAAGCCAATCAGCGAAAGAGACCTCCGCCGTTTTATCCTCGTCTATTCTCCTTTGCGTTTCGTCTACGTACGATTTACGCTCGTCTACGATTTGATTGTCTCTCCTTGGTAAAAAAGTACAAGCACGCGTGCGTATTTTGACTCGTTTAATGTGTTGGCGGACCACTCGTTTTCGGTAAATGAAATTAAATTTGTGTCGAAGTGACGTAATTTAGAAGAACGTCGTTGTGCGCGTGGTGTAAGCGAAGTGGCAAGTTTGCGAGCACGAGGAGAGAATGATATTCATAAATCTAACCCAAACCTGATGATATTAATTGTGAGTGATATTTGTCAAGTCACAAACGTGAGTCGTATTACTCGATATACAAAACATTTGTCTAGACAGAGGAGTATTCAATCGCGCGCGTCGAAGAATTTGCTTTTCTCTCGTAAATATTACAAGTGTAATTTGTATCTTTCTTTTCTCGTTAGGTGTCATCTGTTACTACACCCGTCAATATTTTTACATATTAACAGCGATGCTCATAATCATTTTTATCTGACGTTAAGACTAGCACAACGTTACACAATGAGTGGAAAATATTATTCTACCGATCTCATAAGTGGAATAATTTTTTTTTCGATTGCAGTCCAAGTCGAGACACAGGCCGAAAAGATCAAAGAATCTTGGAAATATACGCTGCGTCGTATTCGTTTGAAATACCTAGGAAAACCAGGAATAACAATTTCAATTCAATTGGCGAACGCGGAGCAACTTGTACGCTTTCGAATACGTTTGTTTGATCACCTTTTCGCCAGGGAACGTGCAACAAACAATTTCTAAACGCACACAGCTCGAAACTCTTATCATCCACGGCAAACATCGTAACATATCAAACGACGTAAATGACAACTTTTGCACGACGGAGTGGGAGACCTGCGTCCCGGTTTTCGCAATTTCGCCGCCGTTTGATTCCGCGAAAAAAGCATCAGGTAGCTCGGCGGTGACTCGATAATTATCGATCGAATGGCGGGGAAGTGGGGGGGAGGGGGAGGGGGAGGGACACCCGGTTCCGAACCCCGCGAGTAAAAACCAGTCAAAAGCAGATACCGTAAATAGCGATGTAACGTTTCTCCACGCGGAAAACGTTTAATAAGCGGACAGCCGGCTATTCGGCTATATCCCGGAGCGATCTCGTCCCGATTTTCTATCTAAAACCGTTTCCCTGTCTCCCGTTGTCTACTCTCTCTCTCTTTCTCTCTCTCTCTCTCTCTCTCTCTGGCTGGCATCGTCGACCCCTCCGATCCTCTCGGGCATTCCCATCCGACCGGGACGAATGTGACGCCGGCCAGCGTGACGTTAATTCGTTTCCAGTGCAAGACGTATGATCCTCCGATAATGGCCCGGTGAATTCACATTCACCCGGTAGTCCGCGGCTATCGGCGACCCAAATTGCATGCGCGAGACAAGCATCCGGTCGAATCATCGGTATTGACTGATGTCGCTGGGCCGCGTTAATTGTGCCTCAAACGTTACGACGACGTTGATAATCCAGCCTCTTGAGGCACAGAGATCTTAGACTATGGAACTTGTCCGGGAAAGTGGCGAAATTCGTTGGGGGTTGGCTATTACGAAGCGAAAGGTTTCAATATTTTCGCGGTGTAACTGTACTAACGAGCGATACGTGCATATATATATATATATTTTTTTATATATTTTTGTTGTTGAAATTGGAGAAATATAATTGGAACGGGCTACGAATGAACGGTCTCTCCCTTTTCTTCTTTTTTCCATTCTATATAAAAGAAATGTTAAAGTGGTGAATTTAAATCTTAGTGAACATAACATCGAAAGTTGGTGAATTTACAAAATATTTTAAAACTTTGATTTCAAGATCGTAGAAACTTGTTGCCTGAGGGACGAAGAAAATGTGTATTGGTCCTCGTATTTCGTAAAATGTAAGTTTCACGATCATTTTTCGATGCTGTTGATCTTTGGTATTTTCATCATCTTCGTTCTCTGATATTTTTAACCTTAAAAAAAAGAAAAAAGAAAGTGTAATTTTCTACAGTTGCGTGGATTGCCCTGTATAAATGTGACTAATACATTTCTATTTTTCAATCAATTTACTTCGAACGTTCGAGTTCTTTGCAGCGACGACTATCAGCAGTCGAAATGAGATTTTTGAAGCTAACAGCAATTCCACCATTTTGCACCATTTTAACTTAACAAAAAATTAAAAAAAAAAAATATGAAAAAAAAAGGAAAATCCAAATATAAAGCTGAAAGTCATTTTATATTTGTGGCTTTTCATTTCGTAATTACTGCGGATTTTTACGCATTTAGCGGGAAATTTTAAAATACGAAGTTACACGTAACACCGTGTAATCTGAAATAAAATGCACGAAATATCCAAAATACGATATAGCCTTCGTAATATTCATATGTGAAACAATCGTCTCTATCGAGCCCCAAGTTTCTTTTGTTCTACTTCTTAAAAATACGAATTTACGTGAAAAAGAAAATCTAGTAAAAAAAAAAAAAAAGAAAGAAAGAAAGAAAGAAAAAGAAACAGCGAAATTCACAAACTTCACTCGATCCCCTTAATTTCGTACCACGTTACGTGATACGCCGTTCTGCGTCTCTGCATGTACCAACGCTCCCTTTTTCTTTTTTTTTTTTCTTTTTCCTCCCCCCTCCGACGGAAAACGCTGGAAATCCTTCGTCGTACGAATAAATAAAAATCTCGCTGGAAAACGATTCCGGTTTCGATGGGAAGCCGTGGTTGAAAGCGGTAGCGCGTCCCTCTCCCCGCCCCCTCCCGCCGCTCGAAACAGCTGGGAAACGTTGAAACGTGCGGAAGCGGATGAATGGAGCTCGGCAAGGTGGACTCGCTCGCTTTGAAAGTTGATCGGAATTACGTTAATTACTTGGCCCGAACGTCTTGCGGAGGGCCAAAGTGAATAGCCGCGTTCGCGGCAGTGGAAAGGGGGTGGCGGTCCTTTCATAATCGTGGCCCCCGTTCAGCCGTGGCGCGTTCGCTCATTGTTATTGTCGGTCGCTATCGCGTGCTTATCCAGCGACCTAAATTGCATCGGCCGGACAGAAAGGACGGGTCAGTGACATTGACTGACGTCGAAACGCGGAAACACGTCGATAATTATGGCCCACGGTGTCGCCGTGCGCCCACCGGATTGGGAATTGGCTGGTGGACGCGCTCGGCTCGATCTTACGTTGCGATCAAACATCGGAGTGACCAATTCGGTTAACTCTCAGTTAACATTCCACAATCTCGTTCGCCGATGAGAAGATTCTAAATCCGAATAATTAATTTAACGTCTCTATAATGGGGAGGTGGGAGAGTGAGGGGAGGATGGGATGCATTAGCGAAGCAACAAGCAAAGAGGAGGCAGAGTTTCGAGAATTGCGAACATTCGGATGTATAACGTCCGAGTTGTGCGATATCATCAGAGGATTAAAGTGGGAAATTATACGCTGGACGTTCATTCGAAGCGTGTGGCCAGAAATTTCATTCATTTAACGAACCTCTTCGCGGTCTAACGTTAATTCGTTTGAAACCAGCAACAGTTCGTTTTACATTTTCTTCCTATTGACTCACCCTTTAGTAAATACGTACAGCTGCCAACGAGTAAATAAAGTAACGATCAGTTACTGTAACCTAAAGTATTAATAACGAACAATATCTTAGGAACCACGTGTGTATAGAATTCATGCTCAGGCGTTTTTCTTAATTGGAATTCTTAATCATTTCGACGATGGCGAACCGTTGAGTCAAATTGTGATCGACGAGTTGACACACTGGGCGCACGCAGCACCAATAGACGCCCCTAATTGCACGACTAAGCCTTCCGCATCTACGGAGAGAGCGGACACAGTGGTTTGGCTTAATAAGCGTAATAAGTTCCTTTTGACCGCGATTCCAAAGAACAAAGGTCCGATCGATCGATCGTTAACGAATCTATCCCGGCGATCGACCATTTTTTCACCCGGCAGGAAGCTACTTCATTATCCGCTAATTACCTATCTATTAGTTTCAACGGTCCTCTCCCCCCCATTCTGGCTGGCCCTTTAGCCATCGATCGGTTCTTCCGCCTCCTCCCCGTCGGCGGCACTCCTCCCACGCGATCCTCTCTCGGAGAACGATGGTAGCTCGTTCCGCGCCGGACAAATTTCACGGAAATTCGCCGTCGAAATTCGCGAGACTCGTTATCGCGTATCGTGAAGGGTCTTAATCAACCGAGGCCTCTCACCTTTCCTCGCGAACGACGTACGATCGATCTTGAGAAATGAAGCGAGGACGATAAGGAAAAGGATTAAAAATTCCTTGAAAAATTTGTAATATCGTACGCTTGCGGTTGCAACAGAGAAATGATCAAGAAACACTTACGCATTTACTGCGTAGAGTGTTTAATTAATAATCGATATGGTACTTCTCTCGAAATCAATGGGTACAAGGAACGAAAGAAAATTAAATCAAAGCTAAAGTTGCTTCGGGCAGTGATTAAATAGACACCAAAAAGAAAAATCTTGACAAATGTATGTCGTTGCTGCCCGTATATTTCTAACAATTCACCTGCCCCCTCGTCGTTGTTCCATCGCGAATGGAACTTCGTAGACCCATCGACCCACCCTCTCCCCCTGTTAATTAGACGAATAAGATAATTCCACCTTTGAAACGATAGAAGGAAAACCAACCAACCGACGTTTTCTCTGCTTTTCTTTTCCAGGTGCGGAAGATGTGTTCAGGTTTACGGGGAACGAGACGCACACAGACTACTTTCGGCTGGTGCTCCGGGACGGGAACTATCTTCTGGTCGGCGGAAGGTAAATAGAGGATTCATTTGGAGCGAGTGCTTTAATTAAAGGACCGTTTTCTTCTTCTCGTTCTTTGCTATATCGGTAGGAGGGCCTACCGCGCGATCGACGCCCTGGCTCTACGTGTGCCGACTGGTTTCGCCGAGGAAATCTCGTTTTCACCCTCTATCTATCTATCTATCTATCTATCTCTCTCTCTCTCTCTCTCTCTCTTTCTCCTCCACTACCCTTCGAGTTTCGCCAATTCCCTCTCCTTTCCAACGATGAATTATTCTCCGAGAGCCAGCCGCGGAACCCTGTTCTCTCTCCTGTTAATGAGATCGTCGAACTTTATTTAGAAACTTCTTTGCACGCTTTATTTCGCGAGCCTTCGAATCCTCCCGCCTCACCAGCCAGCTCTTTTAAAAAAAACTTTCTCCCTTTCGCCCGTGGTACTGAGAGATGACGTAACACGTAATTAAAAGTGGCGATATATATATATATATATATATATATATATACATCGACCACTGTGCGCGAAATCTGGAGCACGGATCTCTTCCCTCTCGTCGGCAACGCGTTTCCGGTTTGTTATTTGGGTCGTTGGTTACGAGAGTTCCCGGTTCCCTTCGTACCGCGGAATCGTTATGCACCGGAGCCTCCTTCATTTTGCTCTCCCGTCGAAGCTGATCGATTATCTTTCCTCTAGAAAACGGATCTTTGTTTCCGACTCGACTCTCTGTTCATCCAGAGAGAGAGAGAGAGAGAGAGAGAGAGAGAGAGAGAGAGAGAGAGAGAGAGACAGAGACAGAGAAGGAAAAATAGAGAGAAGGAAGGAGCGAAATCGGTTACTGGCTAGGTCGAGACGAATAATTGGGTCTCCCTCGCGTGAACGAGCGAGAATCGATCGCATCGTTGTCGTCGTTGTCGGTAGAATTATGTTAATTGCACGAGCGATTCGACGAACGTTGCCGCTCTTGGCTCTTCGTTATTATTGTTGCTCGTTATTTGTTTATTTCACGACTAACGAGAAATGCTTTGACGTACGAAAAATGTTGATTACCCATTGAAGTCGCGGTGGTTGCTCTTCCAAACAGCTGAAAAGAGAAAATCACTGAAAATTAGTAGATCGACAGAGAATATTAAAGTTAATACAAAGATGGTGCAAATAACCTGACGTCGGAGTCTGAGATGCAATTTAAATAGAAATACAGCAGAATCTCCTCTGTCTGAACCAATAAGAAGATGAAAGTTTTCTCTTGGTATAAAATTTTCAGATAATAAAACAACGATCCTTCTGATGTTAATGGAGATCATGGAAATTACTTTTTGCTAAATAAAAAAGAAAAAAAAAAAAAAAACAAGAAAATGTTCGATCATTCAACTCGTGCTTCAAATCATCTTTTCTAAATTGAAACTAAACTAATTGAACGTTTCACTCGTCCTGTTCATCTCGTCGCACAGTTAAACATAACTCTTCGACAAAGGTTTCACACTGGTTCTTCTTTCGTACCGAAAAAAAAAAAAAAAAAAAAACGTGCAATAATATGTACAAATTCCCTAGCTGAGAAAAATATTCCCCGCGAAGGAGGATCTACGAGCTCTTTCTGTACAAAATTTCTCGCCCGATTTCGTATTAATCATCGCGCGATACCGAGAGGGAGCTTCCGTGTCCTTTTAGTGTTCGTCGGCTTATCGGTCGCGGCGCATCGATTCGACGGCAAAAAATAGTGGATAGATCGAAGAGCTGTGAGCCACGGGATCCGAGCCCCGACGTCCCGATCCGTTTATTACAAACGGGCCGAGATTTATGGCGGCCGGCTCGAGATTAATATTCCGAGAGGTCTCGGGCTGCAAATTTCCATCGTTGTCTCGCGACAGCTCGCAGTCGCGCGCGATTTAGACCGTTGCCGGCGGCAAACCGTTCGCGTTTCTTTCGATTTCGCGGAACGGAATCGGTCGCCAGAGTCAATATCGCGGGAGAAGGTCCGATTCCAATTAAAATTCGAGCGCCTCGGCCGACACGCGATATTCGTAATCGTGAAAATTGGAAATTCATGTCATATCATTTGTAACGAAATTCAGACTGACAGTAATGTAGTGGGTAATCATCAAGCTTACCAAGTAAAAATTGACTGTTATTTTATATGAATGTAAGGTAACATGATAAATTGACAAATAAAACGAGCGTTCTTGTTACTCGTCGATTCGATACACTCGTACTGTGATAACTGTATTTACGTGATAGGAGGGATATTTACTAGTAAATATCCTATTCGGATTATAGAGTGCACGGATATTAGAATAATGGTGTTTGAATAATGGAGATCCGAATATGAAAGCGTTTACTGCACTACAATAATTTAACCCTTGATATCACTTGTTCACGTATTTATTTATTCGTTTCAAGCAAACGGTTGGGAAAATCCCGTCTCTACGTATCTAAAGAGAGAGAAAAAGAAACGAGAGCAACTTTGAAAAGGTTGATTGAGTCCATTAGACGTTACAACAAAGTAAACTCAAAGATATAACGATATAATGTGAATGGTTGTAGTAACGGTAGAGTAAAATATGATAATAAATAGAAAGCGTTAAACAATAAGTTGGATAAAACGATAAAGAAGGGGAGCTGTGCTGGGTTTTCTCTTTATTGAAACCGTAGATTGAGGTGGAAAAAAAAAAAATTCCGTTTATTAACGCGTTAGCCAGCTTGCGATTGTCTTTATATTGCTGAATGATATAACACTGGATGTTACATTCATTTCTTTTTCGAACATTCACGGTCATTTCTTTTCATTTATAACAAATTGTTACATTAGAAATTGAGAAACTGAGAAGATATCTTCGCGCCTAGCACTATTTCCTGCAATTTACACTATTTATATGTGTAATCGAATGATTGAAATCAAATTTTGCTTCGAATACTCGCTTCGTCTATCAATTTAATTTGCGTATATATCACGTTTTAAATAATTTTAAAAATTTTTTACTCCTACTAGTAGCACCTGCTGATTATCCGTTGCATTATCGTCAGCTTAAAGGAAACGTGACTTTGTTGCAAAGTATTGCACGAATTTATCTAGCGTAAATCTGTAAAAATTTTGCTCGAGAGCAAAATACAAAGTATAAGCATTGGTTCAAATTTAATCCGAGAACGATCGTACACGCGAGTGTAGAACTGTCCACCGTCTGAAGATTGAAGCTCGAAGCTCGAGGAGACCAGAGCAAAGAATGAACATGCCGCGCGATCATCGGTGATGCAAATGCAAGGGAAGAGACTAGGCACATGGAAAGAACGAGCGAAACGTTAAAAGTGTGTTCTCGTTCGTTCTGTTTCAGAAATCTCGTGCACAATCTGAGCCTGACTGATCTGACCGAGCAGCAGAGGTTGACTTGGTACTCGACCGACAGTGACGTGAAGATGTGCCTGGTGAAGGGCACGCCCGAGGAGAATTGCCAGAACTACATTCGCATCCTCGTCAAGACGGACACGAACACGTTGCTGGTGTGCGCAACGAACGCGTTCAAGCCAATGTGCCGTGACTACGGCGTACACGCCGGCAATTATACGATCCTGAAGGAGAAGGGCGGCCAGGCGATGTGCCCGTACGACCCTCGCCACAACAGCACCTTTGTCTACGTGGACGGTGAACTTTACACCGGCACGGTGGCCGACTTCGCGGGAATGGACCCGATCATCTACAGGGAGCCGCTGCAAACCGAGCAGTACGACTCCAAAAGCCTAAACGGTGAGTTTCGTCTTTACTCTCTCTTTCTCTCTCTTTCTCTCTTCTTGGCTGTCGATCCATGCCATGGAATAGCTTTTATACAACTCGAACATCTCCGGTTTTTTTTTTTTTTTTTTTTTTGGAAATATGGAAGAAACTTGTTAACGAATTTTGTTATTCAGTTGTTCAAATGTTTGATAGACGGAGTTTCAGATATTTTAAATATTATATATTTGGTTTTTTGTTTTTCTCTTTTTTTTATGTTTAATCATATATTTCGATACGACGTTTAAAAAATAAAAGAGTGTTAGCCTGGTGTATGTTGAAGAATCATTAATTTAGGGGATATTTTAATCGCAATTCTGTGCCAAAAATCAATCGTAAGAAACGGGACGATATTTCTGTATCACTCGTGCCTAGATTTTAGAGATTATTATTGTTAAAATAATATCTTTTGAACCAACCATTCTTCGACGTACACAGGTTAATACTCTTTCACAGTGAATGTCGAGATGCATCGACTAATGGATCAAAAAATATATTATTCCATTTAAAAAATCGAGATTTTTCTCTACCGTACAAAAAAAAAAAAAAAAAAAAACTGTAGAATTTCTGCCATACTCTGCAACTGAATAATCTTTATGTTTCTTCAAATTAAGCGGCACACCCTGTATACTAGCTCTATCAAAGTAAAATCAACTGTTCTAAAAAATTTAAATGACACAGAGAAGTATAAAGATTAGAAACCCAGAATGCTGACGTTGCCAGACTTTAGAAATCCCGTCAATCACAAGAAGATGAAAGATGTTCTCTGTTGCGTAAAATATTACTTAATTCGTTATTGCTTAATCTTATACATTGTGCCATCCTTTACGGAAACCCTACACCTACTATCAAACGAAAAGAAATGAATTAGCCTTAGTGAGATGAGTCACGCGAGCAAACCGGAAGCAAGCCGGTGGAAAATTAATCGGCCGATGTCAGACGTCGGTGAGAAGTGAGAAAGCGGTCAAAGAACTTGTTGAAGGGACGAGCAAGGGCGTGGATTCGGTAAGATTCAGAACGATCGGCGTTAACGTGCGATTGAAGATTAAACTGACAACTAATTGCGGACCGTAACGAGTGACCAAACCGTATACAGTCGATTCGTCGCTTTCTTTTTGAACTGGTCGGTAGTGATCCTCCACTGCGATTGAGAAATTGTTGAGAAGTAATAGATTTATTATTTGTTTTGCCTGTTTTGTTGTTTTGTTGAGTATACTTAAAGCTGAGAAAACAATTATTACAATGTTGGGACAAAAAGTTCTCGACGTGCGTGGCACGTTGCGTTCCAGCGCGAGAAAACTGAAGGTGGAGTGTGTTTTCGATTTCGACGGTGAAAAAAGGTCGGTAGGGCAAACTAGCGGGCGAAAGAGAATTATTAGGCTGGTGTACAGAGACTATAGATTCTCTGGACGCAAAGAAGAAGCTGCGAGAAACTGTGAGATGCCGAAAGAAAGAAAGAAAGTTGCTCGCTCGAACAACGTTTCAGGCATGCCTGCTGGATAATCCGGAACGAGCATCCGCGTTCGAATACGTTACGCGCCATTTATGCAAACGATGCCACGATGTGTATGTGTGTGTGTGTGTGTGTGTGTGTGTAGCGTGTAGTCGTTGCAAAGGATCAGCCGGCGGTATTTCGTTGGCGAGCGCTCGCGTTATTCGAAGCTCGACTAGGGGGCCCGGAAGAAACACTGCAAAGTACGAACCGCGAACGAAATTCGATTCGCTATTTGGAGCGAAAAGTTTTCGAAGCTTTCGGGCTCGAGCTCGACGATTTTCAAACGCACGTTTGTCGGATGCGAGAAGCACCTCAGATTGTTTCCTAGCGATCAGTAAAATGCTTAATTAGATTCCACGTTCTTCGTTGCGCAGATTTATTTGTCACGCAAACACCCCACAGTCTTTATCATTTTATTACGACGAAATTCTTAATTAGCCTTCGCGTCGTTATTGGATTCCATATTATCGTAACGAAATTGTGTACGGCAATCTTGCGGTACAGTGAACGTTGACCGATTGACCCCTACTCTCGCCGGACATTAAATATTAATCATCTCGAATGGTAGTGGAGGCAATCGATCGTTGATAAAACGATTTAAAAATTACCCACCGTTACACAATCCATTATGACGTCGAGCACGTGCACGTCGAACGCATTCGCACGATCGCGACCGGTAGAAACGCGTCGCAAAAGTGGAGAAACGTGCCTGGTCTCGAATCGGAAAAATCCCCCGACGCGTCAAGACGTTTACGAGAGAGAGATCTCGCCTTGGCGCGGCGAGTGAAGCAAAGCAGAGCAAAGCAGAGCAAAGCGGCGCTTCACTCGGCTTTAATCCACGCCGGTTGTAATTCCGAGATTAACCGTGCGTGTACGTTGGATTTCGCAGCTCGCGGAGCGGACGATATTATTCCACCGGCCCTTCCCATATATCCGTATAACGACAAAAGTCTCGGCTGGCTCGCCGAGAGACGAAACGCGTCTCGCTAAAGGCCGGTTGGTAGCCGGGGCGTCGTCGATGAGAAATTTTAATCCGGATGAAAGACCTGTCTGGCCCCTGTCCGCCGGTTCAACGACTCTCCTTACCACCACCCCTTTGTTTCTTTTCCCGTGGATTGTTATTATTAACTGCTTTATCGGTCGCCTCTCGTAAATTGCCACTCGGTTCAGGCTGCCCCTTCCCTTTCCTCCGTCGAGCAAATATCTACGGCTCCGACTCCGCTTCGTCGAAGAGGCGAGGGCGAAGGAAAGTTACGGTTCCCCAGCGAGTTTCGCCGAAAGGTCGAATTTTTATTTGGGACGGTCACCGGGGCGGCGGAGAATTATCGTTGGGATACCGAGGAATGACGCGCTCGCTCGCAAGCGCGGGAGAAGAAGAAATCCCGAGCGTGGGGCGAAAATTTTTTACGAGACCAGCAGAGAAGGTTTCGACTCCCCGAGGGTGAAACTTGGGTAAGAAACAACGGCCGTTGGACGGGAGAAGAAACGGCAGCGATAAACCGCGTGGATGGATGCCTCCCTTGTCTTATTCCACGGTTACGCTGCTGGTCCGTTGGAGTATTTTAATTGAACGGTGTACGAACGCTAATCAAGTTTCTCCGGCCGCTGGATAATATTGATTTTCCCCTCGGTTCGTTGAAAATTCAACTCTCTACCGTGGAGTCTCTCTTTCTCCCTCACGGGGTTGTTTCGCTCGCGCTGGCCGCTCGAAATTTTCGTCGCTCGTTGCGAAACCAAAAATTCTCGGGGAATGAAAAAAAAAAAAAAAAAAAAAAACAAAAAAAAGGAGGGGGGCAGGAAGAGGAGAAAAGCGTGCGCCCCATTGCTGCGTTCGAATTTTTATTTTCGCCGCGAAATAATCGTTAGGTCGTTAGCAGCCAAAACGATCATCATCGAGAGCTTTCATCGACCATTTCATCGGCGATTTCGTGATTTTCATTTGTCGAGTTGTTTTTCTTTTTTTTTTTTTTTTCTTTTTTTTCTTGTCGCGAGTGTGTTTCTCCAACCAGCCGGGCCAGTTTTCTAATCGTGAAATGCAAACGCGAGAGGAGAGAAAAGGCAAAGGTTGAATAGACCGGCGACTCTCGACCTTCTCCCTTTTCCCGTTTCCTCTGCTGCTTCCGCTTTGTCTCGATGGTGACGCGGTAAAATGCACGCGGGGGAAAGAAAGACAGCTGGACGACGCAGAGAGGCGGCGGCGGTGGTGTAGGAGATGAATCGGCGAGGATGTAGAGGAGCCGCGAGCATGAGAAAGAGAGAGAGAGAGAGAGAGAGAAGAAGAGCAGGGCGAATAGAGAGCAGAGAAAACGACGGAAAATTTATGGGTCGGAGCAATGGCGGGTTGGTGGGATATATACCTACGAGGCGCGCGAGATTAATATTACTTTATGAATCCTAAGAAGCTTATGAAAACCCTGTCAAGTTAATAAATCGATAAAGTTTTCCCACTTTATCGGACGCTCGTGTACGCTGCTGCTAGTCGTTGCCACTGCTCTCTCTTAAGAGAGTGAGAGAAAACACGCGCGTGTACGTGTGTTTGCGGCGATAGAAGAGGAAGAAGAAGAAGAATAAGACGAAGAAGGAGAAAAATTGAGAGAGAAGAACGCGACACTAGCGAAATAAAACGGTATCTCTCGATATCTCGCGTACTCGTGGTCGACTTGTTTCCCACCAGCGCCTCGCTGCTTCCTCCGCCTCCGGACCTTGGCCCAAGAAACCGAAGTGATTTTCACGACTCAGCCGATCGTCGGAAATCTGGTGTTGCTCCTCCGTCTGCCAGACGATCCCGGAGACGAAGCGGGTAATGATTTTTTAACGAGGATCCGATGCCGACCCCCTCTAAAACAAGGCTGGATTATCCTTGGCGATCGGCGGCGTCCCTCGACGACTGGCTTTCAGCCGATTTTTCTCCGGAAACTCTGTCTACTCCCGGTCGTCCGGCTTACCGATGTAACGGGCGCATTTTTTATTCCATTGCAGCTCTCGAGAGAGAGGAGGGGGAGGGGGTGGATGAGGGTGGAGCAGCGTCTGTATATTTTATCGCGGCTCGATCCATCGTGCCGATTTGCCCAGTTATCGCGCTCGTTTATTCACAAGGGTGGGAAGGGTAGCTTCGCGTTTTGCATAACCACGGCAACAGCGTTATAATACGCGCTCGTTCTAATTACAGCGCCGAACTTCGTCAGCTCCATGGCCCAGGGAGACTTCGTCTACTTCTTCTTCCGGGAAACCGCCGTGGAATATATCAATTGCGGCAAGGTAAGTGGCAAGCCGTGCGCGCATTGATCGCGCGCTCGATCGATCTCGCTGGCTCAGCGGCCGCTTGGCCCCCGGGTGGTCTCTCTCCAAACGAAATTCCTCGGCGACCAGCGAGTAATCGGCGAAAATTCTCTTTCCGCGCGAGAACGCGCGTCGAGTACAGGGGGGTTTTTTTTTTTTTTTTTCTTGTTCTTTCCTCGCGCGACCACGTGGTCGAATTTATCGGCGGAATTGGTAGCATCGAGCCTCTGTAATTTCGCGAGTTAATGCCTCACGCGTCGGTGCGTTCGTCCGGTAATCGAAACGTAATATCCTGGTTACTGATTTTATTTATTTACACGTATTTACGGGAATTGGCAGATAATTATTGCGTTAGTAATATTCGCAAATTTTGTGTATATTTCTGTAACGCGGACCTTGGATAAATTAACGCTGCAACGGTCCGGCTAGACTTCCCTTTTTTTTTACAATTGCTTGAAAGGTATACGGATATTTCTGTCAGGATTAATATCAGTTTCTGTTGAGACAGAAACAATTTTAACATAAATCTATTTATTGTTATGATTCATACAAAGGATTCATACTTTGATAAGTTAACACAGATTTTCTCTTCTCATACAATTGCTCGAAACACTCTTGTGGATATTGATTTCTGTCTAGACAGTGAGACACAATCGTTTTAGTTTGATTAATGATTTATGTAAAGATCGGTCGTTTCCCACTGTTAGAATTAAGCATACCGTTAAACCAAAAAGACAGTCTTACGTTTATTCTCTTTTCCTTTTGCAGACCGTCTACTCTCGCGTGGCGAGAGTCTGTAAATATGATCGAGGTGGTCCGCATCGATATCGTAACAGATGGACCTCGTTCCTAAAGTCTCGTCTCAATTGCTCCGTCACCGGAGACTTTCCTTTCTACTTCAATGAGATACGTAAGTACGATTAATCTCTTAGAGAACGTTTTTCTGAAACTATGTTGAAAACGACCATATTTGCGGAGTGGATAATTATTTTCAAACGATGATGAAAGAAAAGTTTTGGGTATACGTTCTGCGTGTGAAATGCACATGTACGTACATCTAGTGTCAAGAGTGCCTTTCCTTGGTTAAATGAACATCTCTGTTACTCTCTGTATAGTAAAAAATTTATATCTGTATATTTACTCTGCATAGTAAAAAATTTATAAGAATTAATACATAGCGAAGTATTAATCTTCTTGGAACGCCTAGTTTTAACAAAAATTAATTCTCCCGCCTTATGTGCAAAGTATCAAATTAAAATTACATCGAATACTGAAACCAAATATTTAAAAAAAAATATACATACGTGTTTTAACAATATCCATATACAGATTCGAGGAGAACAGTACAAGATTAACCAAGCGTTCTCCTAAGAAAATCCCAGATGATACACAGAGAGATTAAGAGACAAAATGCGCAGTACAAATACAGTAAAAAGTACCCAAACATTTGCTCTCTCGCTCGTTCAGATGAAATTGTTTCCTCGATACGACGAGGAAAAATCCGGCCTTACCCGGAACTTAAGAGGTGAAACGCGTACGTTCCGCGCGAGAGAAATCGAGGCCTCCGGAATATCTGTATTCTCTCTCTCTCTCTTTTTCTTTTTTTTTTTTTTGATCGGACATATCAGCGTCGTTGATATTAAACGGCGGCGCTCATAACGGCCGGGCGCAGCTTCGTGAAATAAATTGTCCAACAGATTCGCCGGCACGCTCGTAAACGTCGCGCGGTGCACGAGCGAGGTCGCGCGGACAAAAGAGCCCCGGGGAATTACAGCGCGCTATATTTGCAGAATCAACGACGGAACTGATATCGGGCCAGTACGGCAATAAGTCGGCGCAGCTGATTTACGGCACATTCACCACCCCGGTGAACAGCATCAGCGGCTCGGCCGTGTGCGCCTTCTCCTTGCAGGACATCACCGACACGTTCAAGGGCAACTTCAAGGAACAGAGCGCCATCAACTCGAACTGGCTGCCGGTGCAGAGCACCAAGGTGCCGGACCCGAGGCCTGGCCAGTGCGTCAACGACTCTAGATCGCTGCCGGATCTCACTCTCAATTTTATCAACACGCACTCGCTGATGGACGAGCTGGTGCCGAGCTTCTTCGGCCAGCCGATCGTCATTCGCACCAGTTTCCAGTGAGCCGCCATTTTTTAATATCGTCGTAGCCGCGCGATTCGTTTCTCTTTGAAAACTAATGGAAGTGGAGACGTTGATAATTGACTGGCGAATCGTCAGGTCGTAAACGTCGAGTCGTTGGAATTCAGGATTTTTAATTGGAAAGTTTTAATTCGAAGGATTTAAATTTAGTGTAATTTAATTTGTCAAATTCTTACGGTCAGTGAGGATGACGCACTTGCGTTAACGCGTTAACGATCGGGGGTTTATTTTTAAAGACTGGTACAGTCGTTTCGCAAGGATCAATCGAACCAATCAACAGTGTGTCGATTGACATCCACGTGCGTTAGAATTTTACAACACGGCAAGAAATATACATTGGAAGCTTCTTCTGTTTCGTTTCTAAAGTTAAGACACTTTCGAGGAACCGCGCGTAGTAGTCTCCACCATGCAGAAGTTACATAGAATTGAATTTCTAAGCAGCTCTCACCAGTCGGCTGAAGAGAAACTTCGCGACTTCCAATTTTTATGTTATCTCGTAGTAAATCTCGAACCAGCTAACGATGTTCCTCGACTCTGCAGTTACAGATTCACGCAGATCGCCGTGGATCCTCAAGTGAAGACACCCGGCGGTAAGACGTACGACGTGCTGTTCATCGGCACGGACAACGGGAAGGTGATCAAGGCGGTGAATGCCGAGTCGGCGGACACCCACCTGAAGGTGAGCCCGGTGGTGATCGAGGAGATCCAGGCGTTTCCGTCTACGGTGCCAGTGCGTGGCATCAAAGTGGTGAGAGCGTCGCAAGCAGGCGATGGCCTCGAGGACGGCAGGCTGGTGGTAATCGCCGACAGCCAAGTGCAAGCACTCAGGCTGCATCGATGCTACAGCGATAGGATCCTCTCGTGCGGCGAGTGCGTGGCCCTGCAGGATCCGTACTGCGCCTGGGACAAGGTGGAGGGCAAGTGCCGAGCATTGGTCGGCCCTGCAGCCACCGACGCAGTCAGATTCCTGCAGAGCGTGGCCACTGGTCTTCACGCCTCGTGCCCGCCGAGCAAAATTCTCAACAAGGACGCGGGCAGCGTCGGCGCCATCTCCGCCAATCAGAACAAATTCCCGCAGGACTCGATGATACCGAACAAGGAGGGCCAAGGTGGGGAGATCATCAACATCATGCAGAACGAGGAACAGGATAATTCAGGTATTTGAATTTAGAATATAGGGGCGGTTTCTCGCGATTTCGTCTTTTCGATTTTTGTTGTGATTAGATTTACGTGTCGTTAGGTGATTTCCGACGAATAGTTACGAACATGGGAAAGAGGAAAATTAATTTTCTTTTGGTAGTTGACGTTTGGAACACGATAATGGACGACGATAAATTTTTTAGCAATTCGCGCTTGGAATTTAATAATTCACGAAAGTGGAAGCCTTCTTACGTGGACTCGATATGTTTCTCGAATATATTTTAATATGGAGATGTCTTTTAGTAGCAATTAGTAGCAAAAATTCTCTAGTTATTGGAGAATTTTCTCTTTCGGTAATTCGCAAACGTTTAATTTACGTATATTTTTGGAAAATTATGAAGAATCAAGCTTCCAACTACCGTCAGTACATGAAACTTTATTTCGCATGAATCCTTTCGTCGTTTCTACATATGTAAAATGTACTAGAACAAAAGAAAAGTTTTCATCTGAAAAAATTTCCACTTTAAAGGTTTCCACTTTTCTCTTTCTTTTTTTTTTCTTTTTTAACAAAAAGACATATGGGTCGTTAGACAGTCGCTCTGTCAGTTGCTCTAAAGGAAATTTTATCGTTCTTTATCAGGTCCGGAAGTATCGGCGGCCGATTCCCCACCGCCGCAGTACTCTGTGGAGACGCTGGTGATGGCCGTGGTAGCTGGCGCTTTAGCAGCACTGCTGGTCGGCTTCGTCGCGGGCTACTTGTGCGGTAGGAAATGTAGGAAAGACGAGGACGACAATCTACCGTATCCGGACACGGAGTACGAGTACTTTGAGCAGCGGCAAAACGTAAACAGGTGAGCGTTTCGTTTCGAAGATCCACTAGAGCACAAAGTTAAACCAAAGGCTCGTTCTCGTCCCTCGCTTATTTGTTAACAAGTAAATATCGACGACGAACGAGGACGAAACTTCCACCACTTGGAAGCATCGTAACGAGGAACCGTCTCTTTTCTCGACATTGCAGCAGGTTAGCACCAGAGCCGAAACTGCTGCCCCAGGAGGAAGTGACTTACGCAGAGCCGGTGCTGGTGCCGCAGCCTCCGAAGCTCCACTCGCCGAAAGGGACGATGAGAAAACCACCGCCGACGCCCACGGAAACGCTGTTCCAGTTTCCGGATGGGTACGGGTTCCGTGGCCCGAGGGACAACTTCGGCACCCTGCGATCGCACCAGGGCGACGCGTATCGGCGCAACGACGGATTCGCGACCACCCGCAGCGTGAAGAAGGTCTATCTCTGAGAAACGAGCGAGGAGGGAGGTGGCCGTCACCGGAGCTTAGGACGGCCAGCGCGCAATCGGCACAACGCGACCACAGCGGGCAGGAGTAGTCGCGCTGTGACGTCCGGGGGACAGTCGAATCGGGAGCTTGCGGGCCCGAGGGCGCTCGAATCGCCCTCGCCACCCTCGAGCGTCTCGTCCAGTTCCCCATCTCCTCCCTCCTCGTCACCCTCGCCGACCCTCGTACCGATCGCGATGAGCGGCGGCGGCTCGCCACCACCACCGACGCCGCCCTGCAGCTACATCTATCGATCATAGTCGTCGTCGTCGTCGGCGTCGGCCTCCTCGCCGCCGCCGTCGTACTCCGCTTCTTGTTACGCGACGCCAGCAGCCGGCACACCGTTCTACAGTCCGGCTGCGCGTTCCGATCCTGTATAGTGTAGAGGCGTGTGATCCGCTCACCACCGGCTTTTCCCCTCTTTTCCTTTCACTTTTGTTGCGCGTTCCTTTCCGCAGTTTTTCCCTTTTTCGTTTTTTTTTTTTTTTTTTTTCTTTTTCGTTTCCTCCCGCCTCCTTTTCTTCACTCGATCCTCGTCCTCGGTTGCCTTTCCATCGAATCGTCGGAACACGAGCCGGGAGAAACACGCGCGTCGATCGAGCGAGTTCACGCGCCCCTGGTCCCGTTTGGACAACGACGTACGTGTATTCCTCATTGGAGGAATGGACTGCTGCCATATAACCAGATAAGGTTCGGAGAGAAAGATAAACAGAAAAAAACGCCGATCCCGCCGATCGAGATATCTATCAGGCTCGATCGGTCGCAAGGCAGTTAGTTGCTGCAGCCGCCTTGGAAACGAAACCGCGTCGCCGATCTCCGCCGTTTTATCGTGCCGTGGCGTGTACTCGCGACACGACAGACCACGCGTAGTATTACGGCTTCAAGGTTACTTCTCGTGAAGTCAATTAAAAGAGACTATCGTCGGACTCGACTTGCGATTTTTCTAATGTTGTAATATTTAAACGCGAGTGATTGACAGTGCCATTATTGTTCGCGTAATACTACCGCGTGCCTAGGAACTAAAAGAGAAGGAGGGGATGCCCGGCCGCGGTGCTCGCGTTGTTCCTTTCATTTCGCCCGAGCCCTCTCGACGGCAAAAATGAGAGGCGGACGATCTCTGTGGATCTCGTCGACCGAGAGAATCAGCGCCAGAAGGAGAAACGTGTGGAGAAGGGAAACGAATACGTACACAAACATACATACATACATACATGCATGCATACATCCATCCACCGCGCGTTGGACATTTGATCACCGGGCACCGCGCCGTGCCATAAAACGCTCGATCGTTTCTCGCGTGAAATCGCGGAGATCGTCACGTCGTCTTTAGGACGCGCGTTCGTTAATCAAGCGGTGGCTCCGCTGAAGCGTCAGCTAGTTCGGCGAGATGGGGAGCGAATCCCACGGCCGATTCCTAATTTTCGTCGTACGTTTCGGAAACGCGCGTTTCACCACCTGCACATATAATACGTAATACGTAGGAGAGCAAAAACGAGGTATAGAGAGAGAGAGAGAGAGAGAGAGAGAGAGAGAGAAAGTGCGTAAAAGAAGTGTGTCTGAAAAGAGATAAATCGAGAGAACGGGACATAGAGGGAAGCAGAGGGAGAGAAGGAACGAAAGAGACGTAGGATTTGTATATATATATATGAACACACGTATATTACAAAAGAGAGGAGGACAAAGTAACATATACGAGGAGATGAGTTCAAAAGAATTCTATGAGCTGCAGATGCGGAGAAACGAGGGAAAATCAGTCCACCTAGAATCTGGGCCCGATGGTACACGTAGACGTCTATCTTAAAGTGCTTCTTATTTCAGTGTGTTTAGAAGTAACGCGTATGTGATATATACTATATGACGAGTATGTTTTTTCTAGGGATTGTGGAAACGCAGGTGAGAAAGAGATCGAGCGAAAGAAGAAAAAAGAGAGGCAGAATGACAGAAACGAAGTGACAGAATGAGAACGACTGAGAGAGAGAGAGAGAGAAAGAGAGAGAGAGAATGATGGTCGGGAGAGGTAAGACTCTTTTTGACAAATTTCAAACGATAGATGCGGCGACGAACACGACGATCCTTTGTTCACAAGAATTCACCGCGCTGCGCTTTCAACAGCTCGTTTGTCGAGCCTTCTCCGTGGAAAATTACACGATTTTCCATCGATTTCCGACACGAGGGCGGGCAGGGTTGTTTCTCACGTTCGTTACGTTCCTTCCGCTTTCTTCCTTTGCGTTCTCGTCTCGTCTCGTCTCGTCTCGTCTCGTGTCGTCGAGCTCCAGCAGCTGTCATCTGATTCTGTGAACAATCGAGCGACAGTGTCACCGCCGCTTTCGCGTTCTTTCTTTTCCTTCCCTTGTCGTTTGCTTCGTTCTCGTTCGAAACGCACACCGATTACACCCGAGTGTACACACACACACACACACACACACACACACACACACACACACACACACGGACAACGCGCGTTTGTCACACAACGTTTTCTTATTACCGTTCATCGGTCAGTTGCGATCGATCGATCGGTTTTTTCGATTGAGAGACGAAGGGCCCGCCCGACACACACATACGCATTCACGCACCCCCCCGCGAAACACATCCCCTCCCACACCCTTTCTCAAAACGGTAAGACTGACAAGATTCCCCAATCCGGGCGGACAGCCTTCATCCATTCATCGTTCTTAGGCTACAGTTAGATCGACATCGACGAGCCACGATTTCCTTTCGCCGACAAGTACAAATTTTCACCGAGCGTTTCGTACACGGAGATAATCAGTTGGCGCCGTTTCACGAGCAGGTGGCGAGCCAGTTTTTTTTTTGTGTCCCTCCCGCTTCTTTGCCTCTCTTTCAAACACCGACGCGAACGCGTTCCGTTGGCGAAGAAGACTGTCGTTTGCACGCGTTGTCCAAGAGGGGGACGGCGGAGCATCCTGCACGTGAAACGACAAGTTGACGAGAAAACGAAAAAAAAAAAAAAGAAAAAGAAGGAAAGGAGACTCGATTTACACGATGCATTGTAACACACACGTATACATATAAAATACACACGATCGCGTGCGCGTGCGTAGACGCGCGCGTGGACGCACCAGCGCGGACAGCCGCGCGTTTCGAAGCTGCCATTGTAATTTATCGACTCGAGAGAGAGAGACACACACATAGTTCTCGTCGTTGCAGATATATTTAATCGTACCTCCGGCGTAGGTAGCGTATTTTTAACATGCTTGTTTTCACACGAGGCACACGGAGAAGCGAGCGGACGGTTCTTTTATTTTCTAAGTTTGAAGACCGATCGCTAAACACAGAGGGAGACTCGCGTCGTTTTTATCCGATTAAGATTCTACTTAGTACGCCCCTTATTGGTGCGATACTTCTCGCGAATGGAAGACTCAGGCAGGATACCAAAGATATTACTTGTAACTAAATAGGGCACCGTTGTTCGTTCGCGGTGGTGATTGAACGTTCAGAGGAACGCACAAAGTAACAAAGAAAAAAAAAAAAAAAAAATGAAAAAAGGAAGAAAAAATATGAGTGAAAGAAGAACGGAGGAGTGCTTCGGGGATTGCCGGCACCTCGCACAAAATCGGACGCTCCCGTTTTGCGTTTTTTCGAAAGTGACGCGCTCGAAACATCCTCGAGCCGAACGGACGATCCCTTCTTTTCTCTTTTTTTTTTTTTTCTTTCTTCCTTTTCTTTTCTTTCGTCGGCCCCACTTTCGCCGCCTTCGACGCGCGTTGTTTGTTGAACTTTCTTCTACCAACGATCAGCGAGTCGCAACGATTCCTTCCTCTCCGTTCACTTCGTTGCAAGTGCGCTATGTGTTCATTCAGAAACGACGAAACCCAAATCGGTGCCAGAGCGTTTTCCTTTTTTTATAAAAAAAAAAGAAGAAGGAAAAAAAAAGAAAAAAAAAGGAAAAGAAAACGCTGCCACACGTTTCGCGCGAATCGTTCGCGAGTGATTCGCTCCGCTTTCTGCGGTGAGCGGCGAAAGAAGGGACCGGACGAGTTTCTCGATGATTGCGTTTTGTTGATCGGAGGGGGACACCGTAGATGTATCACGAATTCGACAGTGAAACGATCGAATCGCGCGCGACGTTTGGGAATCGAGCGTGAACGCATCGAAAGGATGCGAGGAGGGGGATCGTTTTCGCGGATATTTTTTTCTTTTTTTTTTTCATGACCGAGGAGGAGAGATAGCCAGGTGATGAAACAATAAAGAGGAAAAAATGGCAGGGATATAATTGAAGGAGAATGGAGAGAGAGAGAGAGAGAGAGAGAGTGAGAATGAGAGAAAGAAAGAAAGAAAGAAAGAAAGAGAGAGAGGGAGAGATTGAAATCAGAATTTTATGATAATCTTAAACGATATTATAATCGAACGTTGATACTTGTAATAAGAGTTAAAGAAAAAACAAAAAAAAAAAAGGGACAAAAATAAGGGAGGGAAAACGTTAACAGAGATGATTCGTGTTAAACGTGTTCAAAAAAGAAAAAAGAAAAAAAAAAAAGAGTGGAGCTCGCGCGTTCGTGTTGTTTAAGCCAATAAGGAACGGATTCCATCCAAGATACAAAAAAAGAAAAAAAGAAAAAAAGAAAAAAAAGAAAAAAAGAAACCAAAGGAAACAAAAGTGGAAGGTTTGATTCGCGGATGTCGCTTGTTGCGTGGACGAATTTTTCTGTTTTCTTTTTTCATTTCTTTTCGCCGTCGTGTTGATCGAGTTTCTTCGTTCGAGAAACGAATGGAAAAAGAAGGAGCGGAGAATTATAAAAAAAAAAAAAAAAATGAAAGAGAGAGAAAGAGCGAGCTGTAGGAAGAGGGGAATTTTGGGGGAAAAATTCGCGTCGATAATTTCACGCGTTATTTCGTTTCGATCGCTTCACTTGAATTAATCCAGCTTGACGGGTTTTCGTCTGTTTCTTTCTCCTACTTCTTTTCTTTTCTTTTTCTTTTTCACACGCATATTTCGAACGGGGAAAGCGAAAGACGAAGTGAAAGCTGAGAAACGAGAGAAAGAGGATAAAGGTGGGATTGGTGGGTGGAGATGGCGAGAGAATGCGCGTGTGCTTGATCGTGGGAGAGTTTAGCCAGTTATTACGATTATAAATTTGAGGGGAGAAACAGAAATATTAGGTAGACATATACGGGGGGGTCTTCTCGTTTAGAGAAGAGTCGCTCCGATTAGATGATCGCAGCATGTATGAGACACAAGGGTTTGACGATGAAAGCTTAGACATAAGTAGAGGATTAGCGAACGGTATATATATATATATATATATATATAAATATAAATAAATATAAATATAAATATAAATATAAATAAATATAAATATAAATAAAATATATATATATATATAGAACGCTTGAAACGTATATTAATATTATAACTTTTTATAAATATATTTTTCCGTCGAAGTCTAGCCTAGTTGGATACATACACGGTTATTAACGACTATTAATTTATCCGATCTGATTACTATATCGAGGATCTAGCGTTAATTCGAAACATTTTAGACGTCATAGTTTTACATGATAGGGCGATGTTGCACGATGTCGCAAAAGTGGCTCGGTGGGAGATTCGCGGTAGGCCGTTGCGGAGCCGGAGGAATGAGAAATGATGAAATACATTAGTACCTAACGTTATGAAAATTTAACTACTAGCGTTGAGCCATTAGCAGAGGTGGTGGGCCCGCGGGGCCGCCTCGCCGATCGTTGGTCGATCGCCCCCCGCGTGCCCCACTCTCGCGCTTTCTAATTAGTAAGTGAGAAACAAAACGAGGGAGTGCGAGAGATCGACGGACAAGCGTCGATGCGAGCTAGCGAGCGAGTGAGGACTTTGGAGAGTACGAGAGCGAAAGAGCGCCGAGAGAGCCAGAAGAAAAAAAACGAGTATGCATACACATACACACATACACACGCACGTATACATAGTCTGTGCATATACACGGATCCTTCTTCGTTTCGTTTCTATTCTTCCGTTTTACCTTTTCGTTTGTCCAAAGAGAGAGAGAAAGAAAGAGAGAGAGAGAGAGAGAGAGAGAGAGAGAGAGAGAGAGAGCGAACGAAAGAAAGAGAGCAGTGAATGTGCGTGAGAAGAGCGCGAGAGCAACGTGAGAAAAGAGGATGTGTGAGAACGAGAGCCCGGCACCAAAGATGTACCCCCCCGAGACCCCCACCCCCTCTCTTTCGAAGAAAAAGAAGAGGAAGAAAAAAATAAAAATTGCAAACGCGGCACGGGCTCTCGTTTTCTTTTCTTTTTTCTTCTTTTTCTTTCTTTTTCCTTTTTTTTCTTTCTTTTCTCCCCGCGTACCGGTACACACAAGCGAGCACTAATTACCGCTATGTAACGCTAATTAATAATTACCGAGTAACTTACCAAGTAATAATCATACTGTTAACTAAAGTAATAAACGCGATCGCGAGTACTAGAGGATTTTTAAAGGGGCGAGCAAGACGGAAAAAAAAACACTATAGTATTTATCAACGATAAAATTAACGAGAACGTAACACGTATTTTGCTTCTTCCTAATACAGTGCCGTTTACGCTATTTTTTACTGTAACTGATAGAGAGAGAGAGAGAGAGAGAGAGAGAGAGAATTCGGCCGAGAGGGTGGGGCAGCGCGGCGCAGCCTCACCCCGTTTTCAACAAATCGTTCGCGAGATCGTGCGCGAGATCAAGGTCAAGTGCGAAAGATTGGCCAGGGTGAAAGGGGAAACGGGTCGAGTTTCTGTTTCTGGCCGGCCGTTGTATAAAAGCGCGAATTGTATTTAGTAAAGCGGGCACGTGACTCTGGACTGTCTCCCACCGAAACGTACGAATCGTTTCCATACCTCGGAACGCAAAACGAACGCGCCGAGCTATCTCCCGCGTGTCACCGCGAGATTTTTTTCTTTCTTTTCTGCCCCCCTTCGCGAAGATCGTCGAATCGAACGCGAGTGTCAGATGCTTCAACAAAGGAGATTTTCGATTTCTCTCCAGACTATCCAACGTCTTGCAAGAGATTCCATCTCGACGCTCTTGTCCTCGCGTCGCTTCGGCCGATCGGCCGCGTGTTTCTTCACCACCGATCGCCAAAAAAAACTCTCGCGAAAGTTTCTGCCGACAAACCTGCGTGCAATCGCGCGTCCACTGTCAATTACAACGGGATCGAATTCCGCATAATTTCCAGTCGTTCGCCCATCAGTATGTTTTCGGAGCTCCTCCGCCCCTCTGCCCCTCGAGTTTTCTCGACCACTTGCCCAAAGGAAACGAAAAAAAGAGAAACGGATCTACGAATCAAAGGCAGGCAGGCAGTCCAAAGTGGCAGAAACTCTCGCGCGAGAGTTTTTTTTTTTTTTTGTTTTGCTTCATTTTCGAAAAATGTCGGACGCGTGTTCGATTGTAGGCCAGAGTCACGATCTTTTATATTGGGAGGATAAAATCGTTCGGGGAAGGGGGCCTTTGACTCGATCGTGGCACGCGCGGTCGCGTGTCTCGCAGTATGTAATTTATCAGTGAGAAACACCGATTCGAAAACCGATCGGCGAGAGCGGGAGAGAATGTGGAACGCGAGTGAATGGGCGAGTCCTGTGCGAAATGACGTGTAGAGAGAAAGTGAGAGAAAAAATGAGAGAGAGAGAGAGAGAGAGAGAGAGAGAAAGAGAGGGTGAGTGGGGAAGGTACACGAGAGGTGTTGATGATTTTTCGGCGCAACGTTTCGATGGCGCGGGGAAATTCCATTTGTTCACGCGACTACCCCCGGCATGGGTTCCGATTCGTGGAACCGTTCGCGGGCAGCCGGACCGATTTTAAAAGAGGAAAAAGAGAGAGAGAGAGAGAGAGAGAGAGAGAGAGAGAGAGAGAAAGGAAAATGAGTACAGTACCGAGGGAATGAATAATAATTAATAATAATATTAATAATACTAATAATAACGATATTGCATTAATACCGAAGGTATATTATTGCCGATAATTATATTGTAACGATACGAGAATGATATTATATAATACTCTTTATAAACGCAGGAGATGATTATGTAACGCGGTGAAGTACTGAGGATTGTAGAGAGCGAACTCGTGAATGAAAGAGAAGAAAAAAAACAGAGAGAGAGAGAGAATGAAACTGAGTGACTGCGAGACTGAAAAAGAGAGAGAGAGAGATAGAGGAAGAGAGGAACGGAGGAAACAAAAAAAAAAAAAAAAAAAAAAAAAAAAAAAAAAAAAAAAAAAAAAAAACGAGCGATAAGTAGTCTTTTTCGCAGTAGGCTGACGGTAGAGACACGGCACGTCTAATATTAACGAACAAAAAAGAAAAATGAAAAAAAAAATAAACTTAAAAAAAGTAAAGTAAAAAAATATCATAACGCGAAAAAAGGTACAGTAGTGATTTACTATCGGCTGACACGTAGTGTGAATGCTGAACATAGGAGAAGCATGCTGGCAACGAGTGCTTTTTGTGGATTCCGAGCGCGATGAGAGTGAGTCCGGGAAGGAGAGAGAGAGAGAGAGAGAAAGAGAGAGACGGCTCGGCTCGCCCTCGCGATTCTTCCTTCCAAGGATGAACGACGACCGGAGAAACTGATGAAGCAATTAACGAAAAAAAATGTCGTCGACGAAATCGTTGATCTTAGCCTCGTCGTTGTGGCGACGCGCGATCGATGACAACGGATGTCGCGAGTTGATGTTGATACTCGCTTTCTTGGAAACGGAAAAGTCTCGCGAGAGATGTCGAAAGATGGATAAAGTCGCGAGGCGAAAGGGGGGAAGGGGAGGATTCGTTTCCATTACCGTATTGCGTCTGTTATGCCTGACATAGTTCGCTATTAAGGGAAAAGAGGAGACGAGGCATTCACGAGCCGGAGGAAGCTAGCTGCGGCGACGAATCCTCTCGAACGTGGGATGGGAGTTGGCCGAACGCGTAAAAGAAACGAAAAGAACGGCGAACAAGGGAGAGGGTGGGAGAGGGTGCGAAGGGCGAGCCGAGGCGGAAGATCGAGCAGGAGGAGTGCGAAGAAGGAGCGAGAGAAAAACGACAGGTTGCGCGTTGAGACGGAGAGAAAGCGAGAGAGCAAGTGTGAGAGAGTGAGAGAGAGAGAGAGAGAGAGTGAGAGGGTTGGCGAGCCAGGGAGAGAAAATGAAGAGGAGCGATTGTAGATTCGGAAAGTCACTTAGCCAGCAGACTGCTGTTCATAGTGCCCTGTTATAGTGGGTTCCCTAGGCAGAGCGGCAGAGACACGAATTAAAAAGCGAAAACACGTGAGAAGCGAACAGAGAAGGTTTGGGAGAGAGAGAGAGAGAAGGTTTGGGAGAGACGAAAAGGATGAGAATCGTGCTGCTGAGAGAAAGAGCGCGTGAAACGGGTGGAACGAGTTGAATCGGGAATCGGATGACGAAGTGCGCGTGGCGGAATACGCGAACGCGAGTGTGTTCTTTTTTGTTCTTTTATTTTCTACTTGGTACGATTCGTCTTTCTTTCTCAATGATCGAGCGACAAGATTTCGATCGAACGAGAGGAGATGTTTACAATTGTGACAACGACTATCTAGATTAATCGTGGCGAAGACATCGTGCGGCGATCGATACGCACTCCTTCCTCGAGGGTCAATATTTCCTCATTTTTTGCAGTCGTGCTTCGGGAAGATTGCTCGCGGTGTTCGACGCTCGAAAGCAACGACGTACGAAACGAGGGGACGAAATTTTTTCGTAATCGAGCCAGCGCGCGATGGCCACTGTCAACTTGAACGTTTTGCGAGCGTAATTAAAAGGACAGGCTCGATTGCATCGCTGAATGCATCATCGAACGTTTTCTGTAATATTTGCAGTTTGCAGTGTCGAGCTTTAAAATTTTCTACAGATGCACAAGTATCCTAGGCAATCGACAGAATTCGAGAATTGTACAGCGTATCGTTGTTTTCGAGGATCGAACCATGTCGCGACGAGTGTACCACTGTTCGCGAATCGATCGCGACCGAGGAAGGCAGTATGGCTCGAATCGTCAACGGAAAGCATTCGACGACAAATCTGGGTTTCTGAGGAAAGGAAATCGGTTAAGGCTTGGTTATAAGCGAGGTACTCCGCTCTCTGCCCACGGGACCCTGATCTATTTTTCAGAATACGCTATTGTGATTATTACTATATGATAACATTTAAAAGAAACAAAAAAAAAAAAAAAAAAAAAAAAAAATACCACTAAAATCACAAAAAACACCTTGTACTATTGTTTATTATACGATTCTGACGATGATTATTTATAATGTTAATAATCTATATTAACGATAATTACCGCATTATACCATTATTATATTTAGTACTATTTAGAGAGTGAGGCTGCTACTATATTAATGAATTAAGTACTAAGTAACGGATTAAGTAATTCATTAGACTTTATATATAAATATATAAATATTACTAAACATACTCTTCGCGTCAAAACTGCGTTTATCGGTTTTCTCTTCGTATACACGTTGATTTCCTATACATATACGAAATATATATATAAATATATAAATATAAATATACATAAAGTATTGAATAATCACAGTACGACTGCCTCTGACTCGATTTTTCATTTCGTTTTCGGGCGCTTGTTCAGTCGGCGTTACGAACGTTCTTTCGTTTCACCCATTTACATTCGACGACTACGTTATTTTATATATCGTAATAGACATAGACTGTACCACGAAATATTAAGTAAAAATAAATTTGATTAGGTAATAACTGCGTTGTTCCTTTCTTCCGTGTCAACCTGAATTTCACCCAAAATTCACGCCATTGATCCTTCGATGCCAAGCTCAACGATGTAATCGTCGTTGACTAACCGGTGAAAAATCCCGAGAAGAAGGATCGATCTCAAAAAATTCTATCCAGATTTTGAACGAGATCATCCTGTACGAGTTATTCTCATCGAAATGAATAAACGTGCAAGAACGATTATAAAAATTAGAAAATTACTTTCGAGTTGTTAATAAAAAGTTGGATTGATCCAATTTTTTGAATCACGGTCTTAAACAGTCGATCAAAATTTCGTAGAAATTTCCGTTAGTGACTCGATCGTTACAAATGATTGATTAAAACTGTTAAATGGTACTTGGAAATGTTGTAGAAGAGAATCGATTGTTTAATAGTCACAGATAAATTATTAGAAACATTATGTAACGTTGAAACAATTAAAATATTCAGAAATATTATTTGAAAATTCACTTTTAAATTTTAATTCGATTTCCATGAACGTGACGCAAGTTCAATTAGTAATGAGTAATTTAATTAGTAATTAGTAATAATTAACCTTATCACAGACGAGGTATATACCTCGTTTAATTAATAAATCATGGAATTATCATTCATCGAAACACAGTGGTTCTCGATCGCTTAATATATTCTTTCCCCGATTCTACAAACAATTGTTATCATTTTGTTCATTTAGGGTTAAATCACTTGCTGTTAAAGTTCTTCGGATTCTACAGGACATGCAGCAGAATGAAATAAATCGACGCGTTGCGTTTCCATTTTTATTTTTTTCTTTCCTTTTCTTCTGTTTTTTTTTTTGTCCACCTTTATTTAATTCGTAGCATATACTATTTCAAAGATTCATAAAGTACGATGTAGATAAAAAAGTACAAATATTTACAAAATATTGTAAAAAAGAAATCGATTACAAAACGCCTAGGGATATGAAACGTTGTGTAAAAATCGGATCTTGAGTTTCGCTGTTCGCTAACGCTTCTCTCTCTCTCTCTTTCTCTCTTTTTTTCTCTCTCTCTCTCTCTCTCTCTCTCTCACCATGTATGACTAGACATTAGACGTAAATAGGTCGCTCCGTTTAAAAAATCACCGGCGCAGCGTTTTCCTCTTTCGTATTCGGCTGACGTCGCCGACCTGTCCTCGTCTTGCCGCAAGAAATTGCTCCAAAATTGCGCGCGCCAAGCAAACGCAATTTATTCTCGGTGAGCTCGGACGATCGTTGTTGGAAAGAATTGGCAGAGCGAAATTGATCGTGAAATTGCGAATCTTCGTTCTTCTGGATTCGGCGAGAGACAAGCCGACGGGCTCGACGTGATCGCAGCCCCGGGGAAAAATTCGGTCAGCGAATTGATATGAGCATAGTTAGATCCGTGAGACAAACTCGACTAATTGGCCTTGCAACGATTACGAACCGCCAGCCAGGTTGCTGCAAGGTATGTTCCTAACGTACTTTATTATGTTACAAGAATATTTCTTGGCGTATACTGCGAACACTTAGGAAGCATTTGAGAATTCAGGCCGGACCCTTGCGAGCACGTTCGCGATACCAATCTCTCGATCTGTGTCTGGACCATCGAAATCAAAGAGATCCTTCTCTTTTTTTGCGAAACAATCTATAGACCACGAATTTTCGCATGTCTGCAACGGATTTTGAAGTGTTGTGAGATAACAGTTGCAGACTTATTTTCAATTAAATCCTTTTAGCATTCAAAACCACTAAACTTTCTTTGCGGATGTATTTAATTCTCCCAGTAATGTAATATGTCTAATTGTAAAATTTACAATAGACAACTCTATAGTACAACTGTTTGAGGATTGACGTTTGCATAATAATTCGCAAGTGATCGAATAATGTTAGACAATTTTTAAACGAGGTTCCACGTTCTTTAATCCTGCGTTCGAAACATCGACAAATGTCGACAAATGTCGTTTCTTTCCTTCCCTTTTACGAGGTTCCCTTTTCACCAGTGTGATGCAATCATCAATGATATATAAAATAAAAGAAACATCGTTCAACAGTGGATGACTGTTATCCCAATCGCTCCGCCATTAATTTGCTTTTTATTTAATTCTGGAAACCTCGAGTAGCAATCGCAACAGAGTTGAAAAATCTCGCGATTGGGATCTCGAAACGTGCTCGCAAGTTGGTAGTTTGCGTAGGCACGCGGAGTAGGTTTGCCCTTCCCGCACGATACCTTCGTTGCGACGAGGGGTGCATTAAAATTAGGGAATGGTCGTATCCGCTATGATTATGAGAACGTTTAACGTTACAGAGATTACTCATTGGCAGTGTGTTTATCTTACTGTCTCGTACATCTAGATGCGTATATGATACATTATATATTTTACGTTGCGTATACGTATGCAGAGCCGAGGAATTACTTTGAATACTGATCGAGCCGCCTTCCCTCTCCCTATTCTCTCTCTCTCTCTCTCTCTCTCTCTCTCTCTCACGTTTCAGCCAGCATCGTTGATACGAGATATAGTATCTCGGAAGAAAAGAACTCGATAACGAGCAACCGGAGAGACTGTTACTACTGTGGCACCTCCAGGTCCGACGATGTTTCGACTGCGACGAGTCAACAGCTCTGTCAACGCATATACGCGGTTCTTTTGCGGTCGTGGTGGCGTACCTAATCGCGATCGTGTCGAACATTCATCCTGAAATTGCAACCGTGATCCCTCTGTTATCCAGCACGGCTAAACACTTGTTCGCCGTTCTTTGTACCCTTCGAGTCGTTCGTTCCTCGGCGAACGCGACGAGTACGAGCTTCGAAGGAACGAGAACGAAATTGAAATTATCGCGGCGAACAAAAATTGGCGAAAAAGGTGAGACGAACCGGCTTCGTTGTACGGATTTCGTGAATGTGATCAAACGCGGTGTGTTTTATTCGCAATTCCTTTCGATCGCTTTGCACTGTGTCGGATTCCACTTTTCAGCGTTGCGTTTTAGAATTCCAATTGAAGGAATGAATATGATACATCTTTTGTTTAATATTAGCGAGAAATAATATAGTCGGTGTAGTAAAAATATTTGTTTCTCGATATTAGAGACTGAAACGAATTAATATTAAAACTTCATCGTCAAATTGCGTCTTCCCGTTTCTTTGAGTCTATCATTCTCTGAAAATCTCGAGAAATTAAAGTATTTATGACGAATTATCGCCTGGTTCTCAATGGATCAACCTACTTTTCCCCCGCAGAAATGAAACTACAAATTTAAACATGATTAAGAAGCCTTTACGCGAACGAAAGAAACGAAACAATGAGAACGATCCCTCGGAAGTGTGCATCCATGAGAAATGAAAACTCGAATCTCGCGATTGTACTTAACGAACGAACTTACGCTTACACCCACGGTATATACAAGGCCGTTTGCTTTATCTTCCTCGAGTCGACATCGAGCAATCGCTCCTGACTTTCTATCTCTTTCTCCCTCTCTCTCTATCTCTCTTTTTTCTTATCATTTCGCGCGTACACGAAGCGATTCGTGCGCGATTCGAGTCACACACGTGTGTAACCTTTGTCGTCTGCGCTCACTCTGCGTACGCGCATGTATTCTGTGTGTGTGTGTGTGTGTGTGTGTGTGTGTGTGTGTGTGTGTGTGTGTGTGTGTGTGTGTGTGTGTCCGCGTGAGACGCAAGTGTCAGCTATAAATAATCCTTAAGCCGTAGACGGTGAATTAGGCGCGATATAAAAATCGTCGTTCGTACAATGATGGTTGATATGGTCGTGATACTTTCTTAACGATGCGCTCGCATTTGAAGAGCCCCGGCGACATCCGCCGCGACGACGATATCTAGCGTATCTTACGAATATTCGATGTGCGGTGATCGATAATACCTATATCGTTACACATGATATTGAATACTAAATATTGCGTTTAGTCGTATAATATGATAGCGTGTATTGGATTCGTACGTGAATCCTTGGAGCGGATCCTTCTGTCAGAAATAAATTATATCCTTATCGACCTAATGGACGCGACAGAATACCATGACACGGGTAATCATCGGGCGGAGTTCGCGCCCCGTGTTGATCGTGTTGGATCACCGATCCGCAATAATTGACAGGCAGCGAGTTGTTACTCGCGCGCGATCGTTACACCTGCCACGGTATCTCCGATTTTAGAGCCTCGTGGCGCTGCGATCAATCTACAGACAACTGTCGACCACAATTTCACCTATTTTCGAGACCACCTCGTCGAAGGTCGGTCTCTCACGCGGGTCGTTGGCCCAGCATTGAGCTTGGAGCTCCTGCAGGGCAGGCGGCGCGGCCTTGTGCGGCTTCCACGCGAGCGTCTGAGCCTTCAGCGCGGACAGCACGGAATCGTCGTTCATCTTGTTGAACGGCAGCTCACCCTGATGGAACATCTCCCAGACGAGACACGAGAACGAGTAGACGTCGCTCTTGGTCGAGTACTCGTCCTCGTAGACCGCCTCGTACGGCAGCCATCTGAGAGGGATTACCTGGTTCCGATGTTTCGCGTACTCCTGTTGATACGGCTCTTTGGTCATGCACGGCAGCGAGATCTTGATGGTGAGGTTGCTGGCGATCAGACAGTTCCGGGCGGCGATGTCCTTGTGAACGAGGCGACTGTCGGCGAGATGCTTCAAGCCTTTCGCCGCCTGATTCGACAGCGAGAGGATCTGCGCGACCGACAGCTGCGGCGCACGCGGCGGCTTCGACTCGTGCGTCGGGCTCGAGTTGTTGTCCTTCCGCGAGGCGATCAGGAATTGCTTCAGGTCGCCCCAGTCGGTGTACTCGAGGATCATGTAGTCCGGTTCTTCCTCGCGGCACAGCCCGATCAGCTTCACCACGTTCTCGTGGCTCAGCTTGTGCAGAAGATCCAGGTGGCGCTTGAACTCCTGCAGAGCCGTCTCGTCCTTCGTGTTGATCAGACTCTTCACCATGACCAACGTCTCTTTCTCGCCATCGTCCACCTGATACTTGGTCGAGTAAACCTCGCCGAACTCGCCGCGACCCAGCGGTTTTAGCTCTTTCAGGTTGCTACGCGACACCGCTATTTTGTCGTAATTCGACTTGGACTTCTTCGACTGGTTGCTGCTCTGGCTCTGCGCGGTGTCGGCGCCGTCGCTCTTGTTGTGCGAGTCGCGATTCTCCTTCTTCTTGCCGGCCGACGAGTTCATCTTGCTGTTGCCGGTCTCCTTCAGCTCGGTCTGTTCCTCCTGCACCTCGCCGTTCTCCAGTTTCTCTGCGCCATTGAATTAATCGGATTATTCGCGGACGCTCTCGCGCAACGATCGAAGAGGATAGATACCTTCCGCCTGTTCTTGAAGATACTGCTGCTTTCTACGACGACGCCGGTAACGACAGTACAACATCAGACCCACCACCAGCACCATGTACGCCGCCGCCGCGCTCAGAGTGATCGTGATCGTCTTGGTCATCATCGACCCGTCGTCGCCCACTTCCAAGTCCACGTCGAATCTGTACGTGTCACCGGCTGCAAACAGACCGCGCGTCGTCTTTGCGTAATCTCTTGGCGGATTACAAGACTGAATACCGTAAGCGTAAGGGAACAAAGCGGCGAAGAACCACTTACCTCTCACGTTCAACTGAACCTCCTCCCTCTTCAAGCCTCCGCTGTTACCCGCTGTGCATCCGTATTTCCCTTCGTCGCTCATGTACACTTCCTTTATGTACAAACTGCCGTTGCCAAGCACCTCGAAGCGAGAATTATTCAGATTGTTCATCCGTGAGTCCCTGTCCCATTGAATGGTCGGTTTAGGATCACCCTCGGCCGCACAGTGCAGCATTACCGGGTAACCCTCGATCGCCTCTGTTGGGTTCTGCGGCTGAATGGTGAATTTCGGCGCGACTGTAACGAGCAACAGGCACGATTTTTGTCTATCGATGTTGAAATATTTCCGACAAAGGAACTGCTCTCTGCTTCTGGGAATATTTTGTCCATAACAAAGCGACTCAAGCGACTGGACGTGACATTGGAAACAACATTTGCAACGATATGTTGTACAATAGGTACGTGTCAGTTCAAACAAATTGTTTTCACCGAAGCAATCTTAAGGAATCTTTCATCGAATCATTTCCAGCAAGCATCAGAGATAGATGTATACTAGAATATATTTTATTCGTAATTGCTTGCTGGACACTTTTCAATTTCAAAACGTTCCACGACTTGTCCACGAACGACGAAGTTGCAGAATAAAGGAACGTAGGTAAAAAGCGGATCGAAAAGAAACGTGGCTTCACGATTGCTTCAATGAGAACGGCATACGCTCAACTACTCAAAGAGTTTGTCCAAACTGAAATTGCCTGGAGAAACTACGAGAGAAACGCGATCCAACCCGTTGGACAGTCGCGCGAGAGATCACACTCACTGACTACGTCGATGCTGATCGTGTGGTTGATCGATCCCTGCGCGTTGCTGGCTATACACGTGTAGCGACCCTTGTCCTCCTCGAGGACTCCATTGAAGTGGAGAGTTCCATTGATATCTTGCACGTGCTTCGGGAATTCCTCGCCTGCCCCCTCCTTCATCCACTTCACCGTCGGATTAGTGGCACCCTGAGACTTGCACGGCACTTTGGCCGTCGAGCCGAGCTCCAGCCGCTTGTCCACCGGCTGCGGGGAGAACTTGAGCTTCTCCTCGACCGTCAGGCTGGCTCGCTCCGAAAATATCGGCGGGAAGCCTTTCGTGAGTATCTCGCACATGTAGCTGCCCTTGTCGGACAGGTCGGCGCTCTTCAAGTGCAGGGTCACGTTGCCGTAGTGATCGGTTACTCGATGTCTCGTCGGGCCGCCGCTCTCTTTCAGCGGCTCCCCGTCTTTCAGCCAGCGAACATGGCTCACCGGCGGCTCCATACCGGAGTACGAGCACGTCAGCGTCACGGAATCTCCCTCCATCACGCTGAGACTCTCCGGCGAGCTTATCAGCGTCGGTGGTGCTGAAAAGGCGCGTAAAGGAAGACGTGGCGTGAAAGGAAATGAAGAAAAAAAGAAAAGAGACATCGACGAGACGCGCTTGACGTCTGTTACGCACTGTCGAGTGATTGTTGGTGATTTGGTCGGACGAGAAAGAGTCACGTGACTAAGTTTGACATCTCGGAAATCGTCACTCGTAAATGTCGAGAAAAAATTGTAATAACTACGACCAGTCGGAAACGTTTGGAAAGTTTCTGCAAGAACAGAGAGAGGAAAAGGAATTTGTTCGTCGAATTTTATTACCAATAGATACTAATTGTATATGAAATTTTTGATCAATATTAGGAATTTTTTTAATAATTAAACAAATTATTTCAGGATTACTTTTATCAATACATTAAATCGTCCTAATATTGAGTTTGCTTTTAAAATTCAGGATTACAGAAAATGGAGCATCATTTTATTTATTTATTTTTTTTTTTAAATTTATATTCATATTAGACGAAATTTATTCTATTATTGATTTAAATTATATTCACGTTTGATTAATTGGAAGAATAATTTTATTTTCATCAATAGCAACTGCATTTTTAGGATATGTATCACCATCAGGTCAAATAGTAATTACTAATTTATTATCAGCATTACCTTATATATTGGTCAAACAACTGTTGAATGAATTTGACGTGGATTTTCAACTAATAATTCAACTTTAAATAGCACTTTATTTTCTAGTAGTAGTCGTTAAATCAAAATTATTATCAAATTTATGCTTGCATCAGAAACTTACGCATGTGTATTATTCTTAAATACCTATACTCATTTATACAATCTGTTCTAGAACGAACCGTTCTAAAATCAAAAATTTTCACTATCGACGACATTTGAGTACTAAAAATGAAAAGTGCTCTAAAACTTTTGAGCAGAATTATATATCTTTTTGAAGCTGAATAGCAGACCTGGTTGACAGATGTGTAAGAGATCCAGGCACAGTGAAACGTAAATAGCGTACACTTACTCGAAATCACTACTTGGGCGAATATATCGGTCTCTCCAGCCATATTCTCAGCGACGCAGGTGTAATTACCATCGTCCTCGCCTATACGAGCCTTCGCGACGATGAGCGTGTTATCCTGAACGCGAACAGGCCCAGAGTCACTGATAATGTGTCCCTTGGGATCTTTCCAGTAGACTTTCGGAGGTGGCAGACCGGAAGGTTCCAAACAGCTGACTTGCAGCTCCTGTTCTTCACCGACAACCGCCACTTGGTTCGGTAACAACGGCTCGAACGAAGCAGCAGAGAGGTTCATCAAATCTGAAACACACGTCCTCGCGTCAGGAACTTGCGTTCAGACACTTGCACCATCTCGTTGGATTTCCCACGAGCGTTAGACACCGAAACAATCAATATTGTCAATAATGTAATATTGTATTAATACATTGTGTCTTGTGCAACTATAATTCATTTTTTTTTAAATGAATTCTCAATTTTATTCTCGTCAAAATAGATCGAATGCCCTGTATCAAACAATAAATTCTAACAAAATCACTCAAAAATGCCGCAGATTTAGATCTCGAAATAATTGCACCTTGTTGGCAAGTTCTTTTGTACTTTATATCAACAGATCATAGCCTCATTTAAGTAAGTAACATCCTTATTTATTACAAAACTCTGTACCTTCGACGCCCATCTTTTTTTTTTTTTTTTCTCTCTAGCTTCGCGTGAAATTTTTATTTTCTACTTGAACAAGATTTAAACATTTGACTGAGATATCACTAGCGCATTAAATTAAAACTGCGGCGAGTGCCTCGGAATTTTTTCAGATTTTCTCAAACAATGAAAGAGCGTGAAAGGAAAATATCGCTTACAGGCTATCTGAAGCTCGATCGTGTAAGTGATGGTGCTGTCGCCACGATCTCCGTGGCACGAGTAGAATCCTTGGTCCCTGTGCTCGGCAGAGCGTATCACCAGAGTGCCGTTCTCGAGGATAGTCCTCTCGTCGTCGGTCTCCAACGGCCCGATATCCTTGAAGAACCACTGGACAGAATCGGCGTCCTCGAACGCGCAGTGAAGCACCGCCGGTTCACCGCGTTTCGCGATCAAGTTCCTAGGCACGATCTTTATCGTTGCGGTATCGTTACCAGAGACAACCAACGGAAAGCTTTCCGTTCTGGGTGACGATCCAGCCTCGTTCTTCGCCAAACAGCTGTACATTCCGCTGTCCTCGGGCATAGCTCGATGCACATGAAGCTTCTTCTTCTTGATCTCGATCCGATCGCTCCTCACCACCGGCTCGCGGTTTCTGGAAACCGCGTGCAAGATTAGAAGAGTAGGCTAGTTGAAGAATTCTGAAGATGCGTCCAACTTTTGTCAACCCCTTGCGCTGGTAGCTGATTCGCGGACCATAACGAGTGACCAAACCGTATACAATAATTCGTCGATTTCTTTTTGAACTCGTCGATATCACCACAGATAGAAATTATTGAGAAGTAATAAATTTATTACTTGTTTATATTTGCTAGATTATATTTAAATATATTTAAGACTGAGAAAATGTTGCAATTTTTGGGCAAAATATTCTCGACGTGCATGGCACTTTAATCCAGCGCAAGAGGTTAATACTTCCGATGTTATAATATTGAAAGAGATTGTCGTTCTTGTGATGGAGTTCTTTAATGTATCAAAGTTGTATTTGTTGTAATCAACAGAAAAAATTTATTTATATTACACAAAAGTATAATGAACATATTACATCAAGTTTAGATGGATTGATTTTATATATATGTAACTTATATATAACTTTTGTCAATCCTTTGCGCTGGCAATTGGTTCGCGGACCATAACGAGTGATCAAACCGTATATAATTCGTCGATTTCTTTTTGAACTCGTCAGTACGTCGATATCACCACAGATAGAAATTATTGAGAAATAATAAATTTATTACTTGTTTTGCCTGGGTTATATTTAAGACTGAGAAAATATTGTAATTTTGGGGCAAAATATTCTCGACGTGCATGGCACTTTAACCCAGCGCAAGAGGTTAATACTTTCGATGTTATAATATTGAAAGAGATTGTCGTTCTTATGATGGAGTTCTTTAATGTATCAAAGTTGTATTTGTTGTAATTTAGATGGATTGATTTTATATATTTTAGATAATTAATAATACTTGTTCATCGTACGAACATTTCTGCGATTTTAAATTTCGTCGTTATGCAAACATTTTTAAAAACTGTCTCTCTCCTAACTGAAATAATTGTTGTAATACATTAAAAAGCAATGAATCCTGTGAAACTGTTGTAAATAATCTTTTGGGCAATATTCGAATATTGATAAAATATATGAAAAAAATATATTCGAATATTAGTAAAAGTTATTAATATAAAAACTAGAAATAGTAACAAAAACAAATATCCGTTTAGGCTCCAGTTTTTTTAATTAAACATATTTCATGCAATTATAAAATTGCACGAAGATCAGCAGTCTTAATAATCAATAAAAGTCACTCGAAGAAGTCATCTTCTAAATCTTTCTGTTGGTGGTCAACGACTGCTGATCTTTAGGAATAAACTCAGGGGTGTCGGCCACTTATTTTGACTGTTTCCTATTTTTTCTGTTGTTCCGCTGTGTTCCACTCCACGTGCTCACTCGCATTTCTTCTTCTTCCGAGCAAACAACTTGTAAAGGACGTAAAGTCTCTCAATAAATATATATTTATCTCACCGTTTACTGGATACGTGTGTTTTTCTCCTAAACTAAATTCCATCGCTTTCAAACCACGGTTAGAGTAGGTGTGTCGCTGCGTGATACACACGTTTGTTATTATAAAATCGCGGATGGCATCATCTACCGCAGCGATGGATTTTTCATCGATATAGACGGTTTCTCTCTCTCTCTCCCTCTCTCTCTCTTTCTTTTCTGCGTGCGCGAGCGCGTGCACGGTTGGAGCACGAGTCTCGGCGCGACGTCGACGAGAGGAGGGTTGTTATAAACTCGCGAGGGCGAGTCGAAAGGTGAAAAGCGTAGTAGTAGGCTAGCGAGGGAACCGAGAGGGTAAAGGAAAATGTCGCTTGATAATTCAAGGGTAGTTCCGTAAACGACGGGTGTCAGTTACGGGCGACGCGAGATTGAAATTAGTCGAGAGAAAGAAAGAGAGAGAGAGAAGCTCACAGCAGGGTTGACGATTCGCCGTCAGGGGGGGCCGTGGCTTTTCCCAGGAATTATCGGGCCCGGGGTTATTTCACGCACGCACACACGCAGAAGGTAAATAACAGCGAGTTATGTAACGAACCTGAACCACTCGTACTTCATGTCTCCGGAGCCGTCGACGTGACATCGAAGTTCAATCTCGCCTCCCACGCGGATCGCCGAGGGTAGCTTCGGTTGCTGCAGCTGCACGCTCGCCTCGCTGATCCCTGAAACAGAAATTTCCGCGGATCGATTAGAGAGAGACCCGCGTCACGGTCTTACGAATAATTTAACGACCTCCGACGTCGGCCGTTTTCCTTTGGGTACCCATGCAAATTTCATTCGATATCGGTAAATACTTTTAAGGGGTGAATTCCGCTGTTGGCTGCTCGCGGCCACCGTTCCCTTCGTTTCGTATCGACGTTCTCCCCTCTCCCCCCCCCCTCCCTCTCTTCCTCGACCCTCTCGCGGGGTACAAAGGACGACGTAGATACGACGCGGGACTGACTCTCAACGAGAGCAATAAACAGCGACGGACAATTGGGATTAACTCAGGCACGAAATTCAGACCGGTGGTTAGTAAGAAGAAGGTATTTTTTTTTTTTTTTTTTGGTTACACTATATTCTATCGGGCCCTTTGAATGCTTAAAATTACCAAAAGTCTAAAAATACCGAACGAATTATTTTATTACTGATTAAAGGAATATTCAGTACTCGAGGGATTAAAACGATGTGATCGCTCTGTCGACGTAAAAAAAAAAAAAAAATACTTAAATAATAAATATATTTGCCTTGCAACAGATGACTATAATAAATAAATTCATATTATTCCTCTTTCTAATTGCTTTTGTCAAAAGCCTCATGGTAACAGTCTCTTCGATTGCCAGACATTGTTCAATTCAGGTGTGTGCCTGACATTTTTCGGAAGCACGATTCGCGGACAGGGTATAAAAGCGGCGAACAGCCAGTTGGTGGATCGAGGAGAATTATTTTCAAGAGCAAGGTCGTTTGCGGACGACAAAAGGCAAAGAACGAAGAAAGAGAGAGAGACGTCGGTCGCCCCTTTCCTCGGAAAAAAAAAAAAGAAAAAAAAAAGAAATCTCGTGCAACGAGAAAGGCGGCCTCTCCTCGATGGCGAGCGGTGGCGATAGTGGTGGTTCATGAATCCTTAAAACGCGAGTGAAGTTATTTGCCGACGTCTTTCAACAAAGTCTGGGTAAATTAAGAAAAAAGGAGGAGAAGAAAGGCCCGGAGCGTTTGTTCCGCGCAAACCAGAGGACATCGCCGAAAGTCGATGAAAGAAGAGAACTCCTTTCTTCGTCCGCCCCTTCTTTTTTCCTCGAGGATCGCGGCCTCTTTCTGACCGTCTTGGTCGTCTTGGTCGTCGTTGTCTGGGACGGGTCCTGTCGCGGATGCAGGACGAGTCGAACGCAAGGACGAGCAAAAAGAAAGGCAAGGTCGGGAGAATGAAGTAAGAAGAGGAAAAACAACGGCGCGAGGAAGGTGGGGGAGGAGGAGGAGGAGGAGGAGGAGAGACGGATGAGTTCGACGGGGACGTTTTATTTGATTCGATTAAATCCGTGGGTTCGGCGCGGTGACTTGGCCGATAGGTTGCACGCTCGTTCGTAGACGGTCGTTCTCGTGTCTTCCACCCTCTTTGGTGCAAAAAGGACCAAGAACGGAATCGACCTGACATTCCCAGAGAGAGCAACCTCCCCTCCCTTTTGCTTCTTCTCCTTTCCTCTTTTCCTCCCGCGGCGTTTGCCCGCCGTCCTCTCATTCGGCTTTCCGTTCACCGTCGGCAATTGCTTTCCCTTCCATTGTCCTACGGCTGCTCTTTTCCCCGGTTCTGGAATTCCCCGCCCGGTCCCGTGCACGCGCGCTTTCCACCGCGGTCTCGTTTCTTCTCGTCGACGAGATCGAACCGGCGACCGGCAATCGAACCGGGCTCGTTCTCGTATTCCCGACCACGTTCCCATTCTACCGACTGGTTTCGTCCGGCAGCCAGTCCTCTCCCACCGGTTATTTCGCGCGATTTATGCCACGCACGCGTCACCCATCGATGATCGTAGCGGTGGGGACCGGTTTTGAAATATTCTCGATAAACGGGGGAAAAATGGCGAATATGGTTGACAAACTGGCTGTCCGATACGTTCACCGAACAGAAAACGCATCAATTCTCAAACGGAATTATTTACAGAAACTTATATATACTGCAATCATCATGTTAATTATTCATTCGTCATTTAACTATCATCTTCGTTATTTGATATTTAGACATTAGTAATTATATATTTTGTTGCATTGATAATATTTTTATATAAACTACTAAAATTAATTACGGAGTTATTATTTATTTGTAGTATTTGTGATATTAATTTATTTATCATCATAATTACTACACATTAGTATTTAGTATCGCCCGGTTTCAATAACAGTAGTAAGAAACAAAAGAAAGAGTACGAGACAAAAGAGCATAAAGTAGTATATAGGCGACCACGTGTATATAAGAAAGAGTTTATCTGTTGGTGCAATTTAGACTCAAATAAGTATATCCGAAAATACTTAGAAAAGTAGAGAGTTATTAATTATTTATATCAACATCTTTGAATAAACTAACAGCCACGTGCTCCGCAGATTGAGACGGAAGCTTCTCAGTGCTTTTCTTTGTGCTTCGTTGTTTGTTGAGTAAATTTTTATTGGCTACACGACACACGTCGTGAGACCTGAGAGAACCTGCGTAATGCATATTAAACTTTAAAAACTTTCAAACTTTGCCAGCCTGTTTCATATGTACATGAAAATGAGACTTAAACGTGACAGGAAAAACTGCGCGAACGCCTCGTTAAAAAGTTACGACGAGAAAAAGGCCGTGGATGGAGTTTCATGACACTCGAGCGTTATTTTTTACCTTATAAACCGCTGGACATCCTGCGGTGGCCGTGGACGTGGTGAACAGATTTGTAAAGTAAAAACCGCAGACGGGCAACCTGTTAACGAAAAGGGAGGGCCAACAACGAGTTGATCCCGACGAGGAAACTCGAGACAGATATCTCGGGTAACTTACCGGACAGTTTACCGGAGGCCGTCAGAACGATAAGGCTTCCCCCGTTAATTCAACTCGTTACCCTTCCGTTCGCGATCGATCGGTTCTCCTCTGCTGCTGCTGCTGCTGCTGCTGCACGCGGCCGGCAACTCTAATTTCTAGCTTCCGCTTCCGCGATAGCCGTGGCGCGCTTAATCTTTTTAAATGGCGAACGACCATCGATCGGAGCGACGACGCGATGGTCACGCGAAGACGATAGTGTGTTTTCGAGAGCAATCGGTTAATTGCCCGGAGAGGCCGCGGTTACGCCTCTCCGTCGATCCTCTTGCTGCCCGATTATGATCGGCTGGAGTGCGCGCGCGCGGCGCACGGATACCACCACTCGTCATCGAACGACTTTGCATTACAAAATTATGCACCGCCGATCGAGGAAATCTCGAACGATAATCAAGGAGCTTAAGCTAGTCATTTAAATAAAAATCGCAGTATATTAAAGAATTAGGAATCCGCTTTCTAGCACTGCACTCTTGTTTTATACATGTTATATTTTTTTATATTATATCATATAATATTCTTTGATATTACGCGTCTTTTTTGTATTATTATACGTGTCTTTAATACTACACGTCGTTTTATATATATTATGTATATTGTTATATAATGTACGTCTTTAGTATCATATATATATAAAGTTTAGTATACTATATATTTAGTATATATATATACTATATATATTACTATATATATTATATACATATATATATATATATATATATATATATAAGTTTAACAGTAGTAACTTTAGTATCATATCTTTATATATATATATAGCATACATCCTTCAATTAAATCCAATTAGTTCTAAATTTGGCACTAATTGAACACATTTTATTATTTCGTTACACTTACAATTTCACTTTGGCAGAACTAACTTCCTTACTTGAATATATATTATTAACATTTCAAAGTATCGATTATATTTAAAAATGAAGCTTATTACACGTTGATCCAACAAAGCCAAGAAAAGTACTTCCAAACTGTATACGTGTATACTGCAATAAATAAAATCCGGGAATTTTTTACGGAAGAGAAATAGGTTCGATCTATCAGACTTCAGCTTCTACCTCGTGTGTTCTAAGATTAATTTTCCCGCGCTACTCTTTGATTCGCACGTCGATCTTCCTGTGATCGAACGTACCACGCGTCGATTCAGGGCGAAACGAAGGATAGATGAGAAAGAGTGATGATTCGCGCAACGAGTTTACGAAAAAGTAGCGGGGGTGGAGAACAAGAAGTTACCTCGCATGGATGCCTGGTTAGCCGTGAAATGGAGACGACTACTCGGTGCGCGCTCGATGCATCCCCGAGGTGGCATTATTAACAGCCGACTGGGCCCGCGCAGCCTGTCCAATCCTTTTACTTTTACCCACGACGATGCCTCCTCTGCTACTCGTCGACGGCTGCTTTTTTCTCTTTCTCTCTTTCTGTTTTTCTCGTTCGTGTTTCTTTCTTTTTTTTTTTTTTTATCGCGTCGAAGTCGAACCGAGACGCGACGCGTCAAGAGGCTAGCTTTTCTACAGTTTCTCGGGGAAACGCACGACGTCACGCGACCCTTACCGAGCTGATTACTTTGCGAATTAATCCTTCCCGCCAATGCATGCACGTTTTCCAATCCCTTCCCTCGTTTCGTGCAAGACCATGTGCACGGATTTCGTTTTAACTTCCACCGTTTAGAGAACGAGAAGTCAGTTCCGCCGCTATAAACTGGATATTAGAACGTCGTGATCTTGATCGTGAGGTACATATGTACATGTATCGTTGGATAACATCTACTTTTGAGAATCTCGGAACTGCAGCAGATTAATTTTTGTATCTGTTATTTTAGATAGTCGATCATCGGTTAATCAATCAACTAATTATTAAATATTAAATCAATTTCTTTCAACATTATGACGCAATAATAATTTCTTTCTTTCTTATTTTTGAATTATTCATCTGTTATTAGTATTCTCTTCTCTTTCATAGATATTATCTAGTGTTCGTTTTTGCATTTATCATTAGCATTTTGTCTTAGTAATCTCATCAAAATTATTGGGACGTATTCGCAACTCCCATCAAATTTAAATCTCAGTTAAATTATGACGCATGAAAATTCTTCTGTTCATCGGCCAATAACTACAGTTTCTTGCATCTAACCACTTGAAGTCATTTC